ATATAGATAAAAAAACCAAATATATATATATATATATATATATATATATATATATATATATATATATATATATATAATATTCAGGCATTAAATAGTCAAAGCACTGTAATATTTCCATTAAATGACATGATATAAATGTATTTTCGTAAGGTCATTTTATCCTGTATTTATGGATATAAACAATATAATTTAAGTAACATACAAATGTCAGAAAAAATAAATAAAAATTATATATATATATATATATATAAATAAATCACACGAGTGTATCCTACGCAACTTCTGAAAAGGACATCCTACATAACTAAAAAAAACAATCATTTTAATCAGTCATTAAAATATTTTGGATGCATCATCAAGCTACACTAATATTTGATTATGCACTTGCCAAGCAGGGAATTGTTAAGCCATGTCAAGTCTCAAAGATGTTACTTATTCATTCTTTAAAGTCCAAGGTAGTTTATGATTGATGCTTCCCTATCATTGTTTATAAGACAATACCACATTATGAAGCCAAGAAGAATTACATGGCATGAGAAATTCAATATTGTTGCACAGTAAAACCTTTGGACAACAGTGACTAGAGTTGTGCGTTTAAGGGTTAATGTGCAAAATATTTCCACTAAAAATAAAAAAATCCACTAACTGGGATTACATTTGACACTTGCACAGCTTCTTACCTTCTCAAACTCTTTCTCCTGAATGTCAAGCATGCTCTGAATTCTCTTCATCACTTCTCTGAAGGGTTCCCCCTGCCACAGTAAATGCACACATTAAAACGGACACGACACATAACGCATATAAACTGAACAAATGACAGCCATCCACCTACACGGCAAAAGAAAGCGGCAGCTGCCCGCCTACACATGCACTCAGCTAACACACCTGACGGATCTTGAGCAAAAAGGGAATTCCGAATGTCCCAAAGACTTCCTTGTGGAAATGTGCAACTGGAATCAGCATTTCATTCTCCTTGTCCAGGTCCACCTGGTCGAGAGGGATTTCCTGCCATGAAAGAAACGGAACTTGTTTCCAGGGGAACAGCATTCACAAATAAAAGTGGCATCTCCGACGATGAATCATTTTAAGAGGCTTTACAAGGGAACAGGTCCTTTGTTGTGCACATCAGTGAATGATGGGCTTTGAGGGTTGGCGTGTATCAGCGCTTCCTTACCTCTATTCTGAACGTTCGACTGGCTGCTGGAGATAAACATTCTAGCAATTCATCTTCCTGGTGAACCCCAATAATTTTGTAGCTGACAATTTCTAACAGCCTACAGAGAGGGCAAAAAAAGGACACTGTTAATATTAGCAGTGACCAGTGAAAGGGATCAGAATTAGAGTGACTCGTATAATGGATAGCGGCAGCATCAATGAGTTATTAATGCACGACTGGTTGATATATCTGTTTTCCTTTCTCATGCAACATGTCATAAAAACAAGACATCTTTTTAAGAACATTAGGTATGTTGGATTAACTATAAATTGAACAATTACAATGTCTCTGTACTTTATAGTAAGGGGGGAAAAAACGCTGAAAAGATTTACGGGAAGTGTTTTATGCACCACTAGGTACATGCACACTACCGTTCAAAAGTTTGGGGTCAGTAAGATTTTTGTTATGAAATTGTTCAAAAGTGAGTTTAAAATAAATGCTATTCTTTTGAACCTTCTATTCAAAGAATAAAAACAAATGAATTAGTTTGCGCAAAAAATGCTTTCAACACTGAATTTCAAATGTTTTAACACCAAATCAGCATATTAAAATGATTTATGAGGGATGATGTGATGAATATTTTGCCACCACAGGGGAAAAAATACATTAATACACAACATTTATTTTAAATTGTAATTACATTTCACAATACTGTTTTACTGTAAAACAAAAAAAAACACCTCATATCTTTTAAATGACTACAAAAATTATAACACAAACCAGGGTTTTAAATCATTTCAACATCACATAACGAATAGAACAAAGTAATAATTTAATAAAGATCCATTTGTTGAAGGCAAAAACTAGAAAAACTCATGACACATTTTTACCGCACTCATGGAAAGTCCCTTAAAGACCTCTCAGAGCAGACACGGAATAACAATACAGACTTGAAACAGAAATCCCTGATTAACGAAAAGTGCACTGAATTGAGAACACACAGACCTCAGCTTCTCTGAGCCTTTGTCGGACAGCTCCACTGCCTTTTTACATTCCTCCAGAAGATCCCGAACACAGCCATGCTTGTCAGGGTATAGTGTGATCTCCTAACGTGAGGGAGAGAAAATATTCACAATGACAAGTGTGCAGAACATAGTGGAAACACACATTATTGCAAATGATAAGGGCTGGCTGGCATGACGGTATATTCAGTGTAGAATCATTGCAGCAACTTCTTACCTCCTCTCGAAACATACTGTTGAGCCAAATGGCTTTGAAACTCCTCCTGTTCTCAAAGTCTGTGATCTTCATCTTGAGCTGTGGGGAAGCAAAACCATTAATAAATCAGATGCCCGGAACGTAACGGCTTAGAAGATCTCATATTCCCTAAGAGGAGCGCCAAGTGGAAGATAAGACCTCTCACCTGCTGGTAGTAGAGCTTCTTAGGCTGCCGGGGCTTGAAAAACTGCAGCAGGTCTCTGAGAGTGCCTTCATAGTTGTGCCTGAGTGGGTTGCCAGGGCCGTCTCTGTACCTGAGAGGAAGAATAAAAAGGAAGGTTTATGGATGAAAACATGGGGGAAAGAAGCCACACCAAATTGAAAATCAAAAGACGTACCCCTGTGACTTGAAGAACTGTAGGAGCATGGGGTCAGTATTTAACCTCTGCGCAACAGTCTTTGCCACCTGAAAAATTAAATATGAGATTATTTTTCTAAGAGGCTCTTTTTCATGCTACTGGCACATTCTGATCTACTTTTAAAAAAACGAACCTGGAAGTAGTTCATTCGGTTTGACAGTGTCACAACAAAGCCTGGGTCATTGTGAATGGTCTTGTCACAGAAGATGACATCTACACGGTGGTACAAGTCTCTGAAGTAGTCTTTTGCAGTAGGCAGCTCACTGGTTTCATTTTCAGGATCATCCCTGGTGGCGATACAACAAAAGAACAATCAATTTCAAAGCCCTGTTAAGCCATGTAAAATGACTTTGGAATGAAGACAACGAATACTTACTTCTGGAACACAATTATGTCTCCATCCATTAGCTCATCCAGAGCCTTGTCCAGGGAGACATCATAGTCTTGTATTCGCTCTGTTAAATTCGGTTTAACTTCCTGTAACACAGAATGCATCATGTTTTAGTGATATGTTCCTACGCAACGCTGACAGAACACATTTACACTAACCATTACGAACGCACGAAATAAACCAACACTCAAAAGTTTCATTTGTACATTTTTAGAATGTAAATAAACGTTTTCATTATAAATGTTGAAAACCATTGTGATGCTTAATATTTTTGTGGACTCTTTGATGAATAGAAAGAATAAAAGAACAGCAATGATTTGAAATAGTGAAGACATTTACAAGTCAATTTTGATCAATTTAATGCGCCCTTGCTAAAATAAAAGAATTAATCCCTTTAATAATTCATTTCTGAAAAGTAGTGTATATAAAAAATAAATTAATAAAATAAAAAAGAACATTGAATAAATAAAAGAAAACTAGTTTGTCTGCTGCAATTCAATTCAACCATTAGAACATCAGTGTGTTCTAATGCTTGAATTGACTTGCAGCAGACAAACTAGTTTTATTTTATTTATTCAAAAATTTTCTGTTTTTATTTTATTAATTTCTTTTTTAATATAACATTACACGGGCCAATTGTACATTTTATTACATGCATCTCTACTAATCACTTTCTATACAAAATGATAAATGTATAATTGGGAATTCAGTGTTAACCAAGTCTTACCTCATAGAGGATAAGGCTAGTTCCCTGCTGAAACCCTGCTCTTTCACACATAATGGGCAGCAAGCCTCCTGTTTGGGTCAGGGTTAGAACAAAGTAAGCATCAGAAAGGATCGACATCAGTTTAATTAGATCTTGACAAACTTCATGAGAACAATTCTATTAGACATAGCTTTGAATACTCACAATTCGATTACCAATTCGATTCGATATCGATTATTTTGGATATCAGGTACAGTACAGGTGCATCTCAAATTAGAACGTCGTGGAAAAGTTCATTTATTTCAGCAATTAGACTCAAATTGTGAAACTCGTGCGCACATACTGAAGTAGTTTAAGTCTTTGGTTCTTTTAATTGTGATGATTTTGGTTCACATTTAACAAAAACCCACCAATTCACCATCTCAACAAATTAGAATACTTCATAAGACCAATAAAAAAAACAATTTTTAGTGAATTGTTGGCCTTCTGGAAAGTATGTTCATTTACTGTACATGTACTCAATACTTGGTAGGGGCTCAAATTTACTGATTTGTTAATTACACTTAATGAAGTTTTTTAAATAATAAAGTTACAATTACATTCATTCACTTCCATTAATTTTATTTTTTTATTTTTTTTATATAAATATAAACAATGGTGGCTGTCAAAAAAAAACCTTGATGGATTTATTCAAACATAAATTAAACATTGAAGAACAGTAAAATTCATAATGAATGTTATATGGTGCATATATTTAGCAAAATGCCCCTCTCTACAGTTTATTTTTCTATCAGACTAATGAGTTTATGGTCACCAAATATGTTTTTCGGAGGTAAATGTGACGTTACGTGACATTGTTTACAAGCCATTATATTGGCATCTTTGCGCAGCTGAAACACTGAGCGATTACATGAGACAGGATAAGGCTTGTAAAGTTGTATTCTTTCTTTTAACTTACCTTCCAATGTTTAGTCATGTTTATTTTGTGCTGAAACTGGTATTAATGTGGAGGAGATGATCAGTTCACGTGCACCTCGCGCTGCTGCATCTGTTGAACTGAGGCGCTACAGCGATCTGTCACTCCACATTAAACAGTGCCAAAACGGCATTTATTGTTTGAATACTGCAATACAATTAACATAATTTGAAATCTGAGACTTTGTTTCATATTAAAAGTACCAAAGCACAATGCTTATTGCGATTTATTGGATGGGAAGTGCCCTTCAATGTTCCGTCCATTAACTGAAACCAGACTAGACTAATCGATTCTCAGGATTTAAGAATCGATATCGTTCTGTAAAAATGAGAATTGATTAATATCGAAAATGTTGTTGTCTACAAACAACGTCTGATGCTTTTACATTTTATGTGGTGTGAGAAAGCAACAAAGCTACATTTTATCGGAGCGGTCAGACAAACAAAATGTACAAAAATGCGATTTGAACAGGATTTCAAACAATATGAATGTAGTTTGAAACATACTAGTAAAAATCTAAATATGATTGAATTCATTCCAAATAAATGAACAAAAATCAGATTTGGACTGGATGAACGTGCACTTTCACTCTCTGACAGCAGATGGCGCTAAACTGCAGAAATAATAATAATAATTCATTTAAATGCAGCCGTTACCCCGGAAACCCTGTCAACAAAGCAGCTGCACTACTTTCTGTTTCTGAATCATGTTTAAATTATTTAAACAGACATTTAGATTTGTGTATTTGCTATGATGTTCATCACATTTTAATCTGGACTCCAACATGCCCTAGATATTGTTTGAAAATGTTTTGATTCTTTATTGTTCGGTCACACTTTACATTAGGGCTTCATTAGTTAACATTAGTTAATTCATTAGTTAACAAACTGCCAAAGAAAAATTCTTCTGACCATTCATTAATCTTAGGTATTCCAATATTTAATAACAGGTTGTTAAAATCTAAAGTTGCAACTGTGTTAAAAAAATACAAGTCTTAGTTCATGCTAGCTCATTAAATAATAAAGATTAAAGGTCCCATGACATGCTGCTTTTTGGATGCTTTTATATAGGCCTAAGTGGTCCCTAGTACTGTATCTGAAGTCTCTTTCCCGAAATTCAGCCTTGGTGCAGAATTTCAGCCACAACGAGCCAGTCCCACAATGAGCTTTCCTTAGGACGTGCCATTTCTGTGTCTGTAGCTTTAAATGCTAATGAGGAGGAGAGAGGCAGGGCAAGGTGCGTCGCTCGTTTGCAAGCCATGATGTCTCTCGAGGGAAAAAAAATATTGCGCTCGCCTCGCACGGTAGTAGCTAATTTTCTCATGGGTGGGCCAAATTCTCTGGGCGGGCAAAGCAGAGAAAGGGGAGGTAACCTTTCCCTGTATGACGACATAAAGGGAAGCTTCCAGATTGGGCCATCTGAGCTTACATTTTCTCAAAGGCGAAGCAGGATACCCAGGGCTCGGTTTACACCTATCGCCATTTCTAGCCACTGGGGGACCATAGGCAGGCTAGGGGAACTCATATTAAATGTTAAAAAACCTCAAAAGTAAAATTTTCATGCCATGGGACCTTTAATAACTTCTGTAGCAAATGTAGCTATTGCTCATTGTGAATGTTAATGCATTAACTAAGGTTAACTAATGAGGTCTTATTAAGCCCTTTCACACTGCTTTAGTTCCAGATCTAAATGTACGGTACTAAAGTACTGGGACGATTTTGCACGAACTATTTCCCAGTACCATTTAAAGGGTTGCATTAGCACCGAGAGTGTGTACTAAGAAGTGACGTAAGCCGGTCGACAGCGCCGTCATTTGTGACATAAATTTTTCTGTATTGCTTTATTGCATTTAAATGTTCAGTTATTTTTATTACAAGAAAAAAGTTATTAAACCTGTTATACTGTATTATGACTGCACTTAAAAAAAAAAACAATGTCAATATCGTGACAATACCGTATACTGTGATAAAAGCATTAGCAATTAATCGCAACATGAAAATTTGATACCGGCATATCCCTAGTCTCTTATGCTCCCCAAGTCTGCATTTATTGGATTAAAAAAGCAGTTAAAAAAAGTAATATGGGTAATATGATAATATTTGTATCATTATAATTTACGGTTTTCTATTTGAATATATTTTAAAATGTAATTTATTCCTGTGATGACAAAGCAGCCATTACTCCAGTATTCATGGTCACATGATCCTTCAGAAAACATTCTGATATGCTGATTTAGTGCTTAGGAAACATTCCTTATAATTTTCAAGGAAAACAGTCACTGCTTGATACATTTACGCTTAATATGCAGAAAACACCAAAATGCAGTCTCAGTCTGGAGCCCTCCAATGCTTTAAGGTTTTACTTTAACAATATTGACAACATTCCATGCAACCACAAGCCACCCACAAAGCCAACCCCGTTAACCACCAACAAATAAAACTAGAGACCCCTGAAATGAAAGGTTCTCACTATTGGTGCGGTGACACTCACTTTGCCGTCTCCTTTAGGATTAAGGTAGACGACGTAGTGGCCCCCGTGGTTGTCTCCGCTGTGCACCAACACAGCGTGAAGAATGTAGTTGGCTGGGTCTTTAACATCTGGCTTCTGCAGAAACTCATCCAGAGGTAACTGCTCTGGGAATTCAAACCTGTGGGGCACAACATCAAGTATCAGGCTCAGCCTCCATTCCTCTAACATCATATGAGTAAAAGTGAGCAAGAGATTATGCCAGAAAGATTACAGGAGAGAGTGTATCTTAAAATGCACCCTCAAGTCCATATTCAAGTAAGTGTTCAGTCGACAAACAACATTTAGATGAGTCACTCTCAAAGATATTTTAAGAGCGTAATCTCCCTCTCTGCATGGCACATATTTATTCAGACCACCCATACATCACAATGCTCGTTTCAGCAATCACAGAATTTACTTCAAAAGAAATATTAGTGTGACTCATTACATCACAAACACATTTGTGATGTAAAACAGCAGATATTACACCCAGATTAGAAAATTTTTACACCTACAACACACATTGGGGAAGGGCGAATTTACCTGTCATTTATCTTAATATTTTGGTCAGTCTGAGGGTCGTACATGAACCTCATGAGCTGTAGGTGCAGAATAGGAGGGAAGGTCAGGAACTTTACACCCTTCTCTGCTTCCTAAAAGACAAATGAACCAGAAATAAAGTCAAAACTCCAGTACAGTAAATTAAAATATGTATCAGGCACAACAAGATGATATAAATTATTGTATAGAGTTAAGGCGCAGTCACATCAGCAAGACTTCAGCTAATTTTTGTTAAGTTGGTCTGTTGTCAATGGTTTATCAATGCACCACTTAGATATCACTTTTAATAGCTGCTTTATATTGGTAAACGCTGCATATTCGCATGTTAAAAGTTCAACAAATTTGAATCCCATGTGCAATGCACATTTTCACCTTGTGTCCCTCACATGAAATTCCAGCATCTTTTGAGATGACTAAGGTAAATGTGACTGCACTTTTAGGGTTGGTTAGTATTGGAGGGTGATGTATGCAAACTCCTCACCTGTAGACCATGCTCCCCTGCATCATATTTGTTATCCCCATCCAGCTGTTCCACTGCCACATAATCCTTGAATGACTCAAAGACTGCAGGGCAAAGAAGGTGCATTAGTAACCTCAACACAAGTACAGCAGATACTGTGTGCAGTCCTACACAACATTATGAAATGGTATTGGAATGTGTTGATTTTGTCCTGGAACTCAGTTACGAGATGTCGGAAAATGTATTCATTTCCAGACCACACTAGAATAAAGGCCTTCCTGGAACAGAAGGGAGGACAGCAAGACAGAAGATCAGAGAAAGCCACACTTACTGTTTTTCTTTCCTTTTATGCTGAGTTGGATGTCGTAGTAATCCTCTATTCTTTCTGACCGATAGTCCACATGCTTACACTGGATGTAGGACTGAAATGGAGAAAACACCCAAATGTGGTGAGGCTGAATAAATGAATCAGACATAGAGCAAAACCACAGAGAGAGTCTGGGTGACTTACCACCATCTTCCCTCGGAAGAGCTTTGGGATTGTGCCCTCCACACAAGTTCCTTTCATCTTGTTCTCCACATTGTCCAACAGCTAAAAATGGAAAATCATACAATGGTCGGACCCAAATCACGTTCATCTAATCTGGCATGACTAATCCCCTCAATTGATCAATGAGTTAAAGGGGTCATATGATGCTGATAAAAAGAACATTATTTTGTGTATTTGGTGTAATGAAATGTGTTTATGCGATTTAAAGTAAAAAAATAAAATAAAAATAACATTATTTTCCACATAATGTACATTATTGTTTCTCCTCTATGCCCCGCCTTACTGAAACACGTTGATTTTTACAAAGCTCATCGCTCTGAAAAGCGAGGTGTGCTGTGATTGGCCAGCTATCCAGTGCATTGTGATTGGCCGCGGATTGGCAACCACATGTGACGAACCCGGGATGGACTACGCTTCGTCCACAGTGAAAGCCGATCCGGCGATCCACAGCACTAAGTTGATGTATTCCCTCAGCGACCAGCACAGGTCAGCTCTAGGCATGATGAAGCGATATCGTCCTCATTTGGAAGGCCAAACAAAGTAGTTTCGCTTTCACAACGAAACACACAGCGTTTTTATGACATGGCGGCAGCGGCAACAATACTACAGTGAGAATAAAAGTTACGCCTTCTTTCTTTGCGTGAACATTTGGGTGGCGTTATGCAAATCTTCCCACATAGTGACGTAGTTATGTGGGGGCGTGTTAGAACGAGCCGTTTTAGGTAGGCGTAGTTAACTCTTAGCTGTTATAAAGAATATCTCTTTGGATTTGAGACTTTAGTCTTTGCAACTTTACAGATCTTCTTTATGCACCAAGAGCTTGTAACACTCCAAAGAGAAAGGAAAAATTGAAATCGCATCATATGACCCCTTTAAAAGAGAAGGATCCAAGGGGATCCATGGAGATCAGGCTACTCACCACTCGGCACAGTTCCTGTACATCATGCTGCATGAAACTGTCTAGAGTCTCCCATCTGCGGAAACAGACACACATTTCAAAATATATAAAAAAAAGGGTAAACAAACAGTCACATGACTGACTATGAATATTTATACAATGGCATTAGCACCCAAAATTAAACTCAAGTCTCTGATCTGCCAGCATAACATTTAGGTCAAATGCCCCTTAATTAAACTATTAAACAGAAAAATTAAACAGAATATCAACAACTGATCACAAAACATTTAATGACAAGGAACAACATGAAACTCACATTTCACATCTCGCACAAGAATGTCAACTGGCAGACGGGTCATGTGTCAGTGCCTGATTCATATTGCTTGTAAACTGAACATTCAAAACAAAACCTACCCAAAAGACTTCGTCAGCTTCTTTGTCCCAACAGGCTTATCACTGTGTTGGAGCTCATAGAACACCCTCTGCAGGGCGAGGGGAACGCTTTTAGAGGAATCATCTCCCTCAGTAGGCATCATATAAACCGCCTAGAAAGCAAAACAAAGCAGGTTCTGATCAATGCACAGCAATAACCTTTACTTTTCTTCTGAAAACTAAAATATTATATAATGAACAATATGCAACAAAATTTATATTACAAAAGAGAGAAAAAAAGTAAAATTAAAACAACTTGCATTGACCTACAGCTTACATAGTCAACTTGAAAAGTAGACTAACGTCACAAAAGCACATGCGAAAACATTTTCTACATACTACCATTCAAAAGTTGACAGCTTTTTTATAAAAACAAAAAAGTAATTAATACTTTTAAGCAAGGACACATTAAACTGATCAAAAGTGACAGTAAAGATTTGTTTTAAAACATACATTTCAAATAAAAGCTGTTCTATTGGACTTTGCTCTAAAAGAATGTATTCACAAAGACGACTGTTTTCAACAACAACAAATGTATCTTGAGCACCAAATTAGCAATATTACAATGACTTCTGAGGGATCATGTGACACTAACAGGGGTTAAAGCAAAAAAAAATATTTTGACAATTTTTCCTCAGCCAAACCCCATTCCACTGCCACACCTGTCACACACCCAGTTTAAGAGCAGTGTTTTCTTGTAATTAGGAGCGCTTGTCCTCCTAATTTAAAGGAGACATATTATGCCCCTTTTTACAATATGTAATATAAGTCTCTGGTGTCCCCAGAATGTGTCTTTGAAGTTTCAGCTCAAAATACTCCACAGATCATTTATTATCGGGTATCATTTTGAAAATGCCTATTTTGAGTGGAAGCAGAAACACGCTGTTTTTCGGGCCTCCCTCTTTAAACGCAAATGAGCTGCTGCTCCCCGCCC